GAGAGAGACCACACTTTTCTCATATTCGTCCTACGCAACCTCTCTTATCTCTTACCGACTTATTGACTGTCTTATTGACTTAAGCGCCATGATACTAGGAATGAACCCACCAGACCATTGCCGTAGTTTCACAAACATAGGAAAAAAAAGAAAGTGTACAACATATTATACGAGTATGCCACTGACCGACATTAAGTCGAGAAATTTTCGTCTGCCTTGCAGAAATCTGACAGTTCGATATAAGGCGTCAACAAAGTGGTTTGCATCCCATTATTCTTCTTAAGTGAATAACCTACTTATCGGTCTTATTAAATCAGCCACTTATGAATAAAATGCACACGACGACACGCCCGATTGAGCAAACAGTGACTAAATACTTGAGTGGGAGATTATTTGATGAAGGACGTGCGGTGCGATGAGGCATACAGGTGAATGGTACTAAATACACCTGACAACTGTCTTCTGAGTAGGCTGCATAAAGTGCTGACTAAGCAATTGCAGTTGCGGAATCAAAGTGGAGGGGGGGAGGGGAGTCTGTTGACCCTGGTACATTTGTTGAGTTTGCCACATGTGCAAGAATATACAACGATACAAATGGATCTACATAAATATTTCAAAAATGCTGAGGTTTAATATCCTTCATAGAACTTCAAATAGTCCTACGCTTGGCGTTTTCTGTCTCTTCCCACAAGATGGCCATGACACTTATACTGTACATGCGCAGACACACATACATACAATTATAAATAAATATTTATATATATATAAATATATTTAGTATGTATGTATTTATGTATGTGCATCATGTAATTAGTGCTGTTTATTACGTTCTTATTTATGTCGGTTCACATGTTTAGGGCTTTCGTCACCGTCAATGTAGTAATTCCTTTCAATGCAATTCTCAGAAAAAAAATAATAATGAAAAATAGAAATTAAAAACTTAAGCCATTTGGTGTATGTACCTCCTACAAATAAGTTTTGCAACAAAGAATTGTTTTACAAAACTTGTTTCGAAAGATTTAATAATATAGTACGCTACATAATAAGTAGTAACAAGCAACAAGGGTCATTTCTCTTACGTGAGTTTCTCTGTTGTCCATGCGATACTCCTTCCCACATAAGAATTTCTGAGAATGATAACATAAATAAGTAGGTGCGAGACATTGCAAGATTTTACACAAGGCAAGCTATGTTTGTAGACATTTAACCAGAATTTAAAAATTAATTTTTATACTGAATTTCCACGTAACATTGAATTGTCAATTGTCTTTCGAAAAACAAAAACTTTCTGTTTAAAACAATAAAATCTAAAAATCAAAATAAAAAAAAAATAATAACAAAAAAAATAAACTTGGTTCCTAAAAATTAATATAATAAACAAAATAAAATAAGTACCTAAAAATTAAAAGACAATTAAATCGATAAAAATATATTAAAAAAAGAGAAAATAAAATAAAATAAATAAGTACCTAAAAATTAAACGCAATTAAATGGAAATATTTTTTCTTTCAAAACAATACAATTTCGAGAAAGGAATCACTCTACAAAAAAACTTGCGGGAGGTGGCTTAGGAGTCGAGATATTTGGAGAGCCTGTATTTATTGTCCGATTTGCTTCATATTTAGAAAGCTTGTTTTAAAAAGATTTTTTTTTAATATTAACTCATTTCATAATACATCTACATAGATACATATATGTATGTACTATACACCTGCACTTAAATAAGTAACGAAAGTTTCTTTATTATTTTGAGTTTAAGCTTAAAATGCCGTGTGAAATGTTGCTTACCCTGAAATTTCAAATCTATACCATAGTAGCTTCATAAATTCATACAAAATTTTGTGTAACAAAAAGGTTTCCAAAGTACTTACGTATAGTTGTTTACAAATAACGCATTAATGATGACCTCATTACTTACATATTAACGTACATATGTATGTGTGTATGTTTATAAGTAAAGTTATGAAGTCTTCTTAAAAAGGTCATGTCTCTTGCTTTACTCAATTACACAAAATATTTATTAAAATTTGAATCGCTTTTTCTATTTCTTCAGCTGTAAGTCATTACGCACACCGGCAAACACATTGGTTATCAATTTGGCTGTGAGCGATCTGCTCATGTTGATGAAATGTCCCATTGCCATTTACAATAACTTCAAACAGGGCCCGGCGCTGGGTGATGCTGGTAAGTAAAACAGAAATATTTGAATTTCTTAGTTTGTATGAAAAGAAAGTAGCCACTCCTGAAGTTGTGAAGGCCTACGTAACTGGGTGTCCATATGTATTTATATAAAAAATCAAACCTACTATAACTGGCCACCACTTCTATTTGCCACATTTTCCTAATGCTTAATTTTCTTTCCCCCTTCGCCTGCAGGTTGCCGCATTTACGGCTTTATCGGCGGCCTTAGTGGCACCGCATCGATAGGAACCCTAACTGCCATAGCACTCGATCGCTACAATGTGGTCGTACATCCACTCGACCCGCTACGCAAGACAGCCAAAGTGCGATCCGCGTACCTAATCACAATGATTTGGATCTACAGTTTTGCCTTCTCCATTGTGCCGGCGCTGGATATTGGCCTCTCCGTTTATGTACCCGAAGGTTTCCTAACCACCTGCAGTTTCGATTACCTGGACAAGGGATTGGGGCCGCGCATTTTCATGTTTGCATTCTTCGTTGCCGCCTGGTGTGTGCCCTTTAGCATTATCTGCTTCTCGTATTTCTACATCTTGAAAGTGGTCTTTGCCGCCAATCGCATACAATCCAGCAAAGAGAAGAATAAAACTGAACAGAAATTAGCATTGATTGTGGTGGGCATTATCGGTTTGTGGTTTCTGGCTTGGACGCCCTACTCCGTCGTCGCTATGTTGGGCGTTTTCGGGAAGGAGAAATATATCACGCCACTGGGCTCAATGATACCGGCGCTCTTTTGTAAAACAGCCGCCTGCATTGATCCCTACTTCTATGCGGCGACACATCCACGTTTTCGCATGGAATTTCGTCGTCTATGGTTGGGGCGTGGCCATTTGCGGCGTACCTCTACGACGCGTTCATCATATCTAACACGCTCGTCAACGCGACGTTTGCGTGTTATTAGCGATGTGGATATGCGCAATCGCAGCAATGAAAACGCGAAAAAGCAAAATAATTTACAAGCACTGCAAGAAGTGACGGAAGAAAACGATGAAGATTATGATTTTTCGATACAGGGAAATTTTAGTGATGCCATCGAACAGAGTCGCTTCTAATAAATCGAGATTATTGTGTAAATAACGTTGTTGTTGTAGTTGTAGAAATCTATAGTTAGGGGTTACCCTTAAACTCTTTAAGTCTTAAACTATGTAAAACTCGAAAGGTTACGGGGCTGTTACGGGAGCGCCCCCCCCCCCTCCTTTGCAAATATGTAAAAATCTAGGTGCGTAAAGTCACTGTTTTGCAGGTTGAAAAGGGTTTTGTGTATACATATTGTTTCGTAGTATTTTTCATAAGAGCCCGTCAGCTCAATGAATGCTAAAATATAATTAAAAATACAGTTATTGGATGAAATTTACTCGTTTTATTCACCTATTATTTTTTTTTCATTTGCCTTCAGCATTTTATCAAACATTTTAGTATAAAATCTTCGGCCCCTTGGCAACACTGAAGTTTACAAGGTCGTTCGCGCATCAAATTTGCCTCGTAAATCGAGCTCCATGCAAATTTTGACAGTTCTTTTACGAGGCTCGTAAATTTAAGAGATTTACAAGGCTTTTACAGTTTAAGGGAAGACCCCTGGCGATAACTTTGCAAAGTCTGCTAAGCGCATACAAATATACTTACATACAGATTTGTAACTAGTTAAGGCAGTAAGACGACACAATGCGAATTGACAGTAAGAGAAAAAAAAAAATACTCAATGCCACCAAAAATGCCATTTCAGTTAGGTCATTGAGATTCCATGAAACCTTCGTTTGCTTTTTTTTTTTAAACTTAAGAATAATAANTACTCAATGCCACCAAAAATGCCATTTCAGTTAGGGAACGTACCCATACTACGTGACCCGTTCAGGGGGGGGAGGGGGATCTTCCAAATACCACACTTGGTCACAGTGGGGGGCGGGGGGGCTTAGGTTTTTATCACGTAGTCAATATCCACTAAGAAAATCTAGCGTTTTTTTCGAGCTACATTCAAATATGGNCTTAAGAATAATAAATATGTACGCATAAATACATATACAGTTAAGAGAATATACTATATTTATATAAATATAAATAGATTTTATTGAGTGTGTCTATTCGAGTTTTGGTAGTAAAATAAGGCTTTGCAACTGATCTTGAAGAGACTTTTGATAGATGAATGCTATGTAACTTAGTTTAGTATGTAAGTCTGCATATGAATGTTGTTAGAAAATGTTATGGTGTCATTTTATAAATCGCCCAAGAAGATGTCTGACTTATTTAGGGAATAGTCGCCGAAAATATCTATATAAGCTTTTAACTGTAAATATTTCAAAAAATATTCTCCAAAATTTCCACTTGTTGTAAATCATTTGCATGTATGCATGCAATATTGAGACGCATGTGTCTCAAATAATATTTAACTTGTGTCAAAACAGGTTAAGGAGAAAAATTTAAATTGCTACGAAGAGACAGGTAAAAAATATCTTTTGATTTGTCTTAAGCAGGGATCACACGATTTGTACATTTGTACACTTTTGTACATTTTGGCAGGCACAGAGTTGTGTTTTCTAGAAATAATGAGTTCAGCTCAATAACAACTTTTCAAACAACACCACTCTGTAACTGTGAAAATATACAAATCTGTACAAATCGTGTGATCCCTGCTTTAGCTGCTTTAGATTCTTTCGCTCTTTAGTGCCATAAGGCGATAATCTCTTCACACTTATTATTTTGACTAATTATCTCCACGAAGCTGAATTATATGATTTTTCTCTTAGGTATACTTAAACCAGTGGCATTGTGTTTTTCTGATCAAAGTCTATTGACATTATTTCTATGTCGTACCCTACTTATAAGAACTTTTCGCGTAGTTATTAGCGCTCAAAAATTTCCATCTCCATATAAATTATGTCAATATATATAATATATTTTTGCTTTTTAGTGTAAATTATAAAAACTTTTTTATATTGAACACGCCCATGTAGTGAAATCTTAGTGGCATTTCCCAAAGGGAATTTGTATATTTCACTCAAAAGCCAATCTACAAAAAGTTTACGTCCCTACATTAGGATAGGTACATAAAATCGCAGTTGCTTTTCCATAAAAAAAAACATGATTTTGATCGAGAATTCCGTGTATTTTTTACTATTGTCTGTATCTTCATATCCGGGAAATACTGCACTTGCAATCAGTCACAGCAACGAGCGAATCAATTGCCCCAACACGACATACAAAGTTCGCTCGAAGACACAACATATCCAATTAATCGCGTCAGTGTGTGAGTTTGCTCTTCATCGATTTAGATCAATAGTGGTCACACTCACGTAAACGGTCAATCGTTTACCTCTGGGGGAAAATGAGGAATGCATTACGTTTTTTATTCAGCAAAAATTAAAGATTGCAATTCAACGGAAACATGAATTATATTTGACCACCCGGTGAGTTTCTCTGTAAACCAAAGTCTCTTTTGCTTATTAAAATTGTAGACTATGCAAGTCTAAAAGCAGCTCGAGAACGCTGTCCGCTCTAGACGCCCATCGCAACAGGTAGATCGTTGGAGTTAGCTGAGCTTGGCCTGGTTGGCTTCATTTCGGTTTGCTTGCCCGAGATGTGGGTTTCTTCAATTTAATAATTTAGGTCGTCACCTAATATGATTTTATGCTGCAAATAACATCGTGGACATCTTGTAAAAATCTAAAGCGTAAATTCTTCTAAACATTGTAGGTTTACGAGCTCCTTTTTCGTATATTTTGTTGAAAATATGTAATACAAGTTCCATGTATCGCATTGCACTTGGTCATCAGTCTCGCGATCTTGTATATCGTTATCAGTTTATCTGAAGACACAAAGAAGTTTAGCCTAAGACGGAGGATATCCTGTGATGATTCGAGATTCCATAATGATTAGAGTATAGTTTATAACGCCGCCGACTCTAACGCAAAAGTACCGCTACTTACCATACCGGTATTACCGATCACAAAGACAACATACCGGTCTGGGTTTCGGTTCTTATGTTTGAAAACGACCGAGAAATTCAACATTAGGTATCATTGGAGGCTTGTATAGACTTCTGGGCCGAACTGTGATAACCTTAGAGAACCAAATTCAAGCTCAGTCGGATTTTTTTGGCCGAGTTAACGATTTTTGAATGTAAACCAAAAGAAGTGGCTCTAGTAATGGCACCATTTTCTTTTATCTAGGGTTCTCGCTTTAAGAGTTTGAACAAGACAGGATTTTTCTAGAATATACATAGGTATACATTCTTTTACTAAATCGAAGTAAAAAAGGCTGGTAAAAATTTGGTTTCGGTTCATCTTTAAGTTTCAAGATTATCTCGAAATGTAAACTGCAACAGTGATTGAAAATTTGATTTGCGTATTTAAAGTTGTTTTAAAATAAAATAAAGGAAAAAGATCCCTTTTTTTAGTGCAAATAGATGATAAAGAGGAAAATAATTGTGTGAATAAGTTCTTAAATATTTACGAGTATGCTAGGCTACTTAGCAATAAGAAAAATATTTAAAAATTCAAATTAGTATTTACCTAGGCAATTTATGAAACTTTAGTTAAATTTGCTGCTTGAGTGAATTTGTAAAAAAAATGTATTGTATGTACCTGTAATGGCAACTGAACGAATTTATAGTTTTTATTCATCTACTAAATAAATAAAAGCTTTGCTGGTTAGTGTGAAACTGTTTGTTTGCATTAGTGAAATGCTTGCACCCACAAATTCAACACTAAAATGCTTATTTAAATACATAAAAATTTTTATTATTTAAAGCTTTGGGCAATCTTAAATTTAAAATGTATATTTCTATATGTATATTACTTGAATGCTGTTGTTTTTCTAAGCTTTCAATAGTACAATAGTTTCATTCGCAAAATGGCATCGAAAATAATATATTTTTCCTTTCGCTTTTTGCATTTTTTAACTGAAATGAAACAAAAAAAAACATTGTGAAATTGCTGTATGCAATTGCTTTACAACTTGGCCAAAGAATACGTCGGCCAGGTTGAAAAATGGTAAAAGATAATTATTGCAAAAGGATAATATTTACCTGCGTAAATACCCATGTAGCGGTATATCATTGTCAATGAGCGCTAGACTTCAGAAATACATACATAAATACAGTCAGGGACATACAAATTGGTACTTTAGTTTAAAAGAACTTGGAATGTGAAAATGGTGTCAGCATATGTTAAAAATTTACAAGTGTCGTAAAAGACACAACAAATTCAATAATTTTGCTTCTACGGAATTTAAGGTTTTTCTTAGAGTTGCACAGCAGACTTAGGCACTCCGCACATTACGCGCCTAATCATAGTAGAGTAATCGTTTTGTCATGTCAAAACGAATGCATAACGACTCGACTTCTGCACACTGGGGCGCCCTGCGTAAGCCCTGCTGGCGCACACATTACACATTTTCTGACTGGTCTTTCTCACTAATACACTTCCGCGAACATTTCTGCAATCAAATATTGCATTAACGTTTATGGCTTAATACAATTGGCACGAGTTTTAGCACAAAATCATTAATTTTCAATTATTTCCTACTGAAATGACAAATAATTTTTGGGCGCTTCGATTCATGAAGTTTGTATGATTAGGTGAAAACATGATTATGAATCGTATTATACAGAGCTTCATTGAAATACATGTGTTCGGTATAAAAGCTTCATACTTTAGTACGCCGGAACGATTACACTACTATGGCAAGGCGTTTAATGTGCGGAGTGCCTTATATGAATATCGTTTTAGCTTGAAGGTAATGCTTAGATACTATTGATCTTGATATATCTAATCGGTAATTAATTCGAACCTACTCACAAGCTCTACCTATCCACCAAAATATTAAAAATATATAGAAATATACTAAAGAGTAAAGGCGTGAAAATCGATTTGCTTCTAAACCAAAATTAACAAGAGATGATGTAAAGTCGTTTCAAACATATCACCTCTAAAAAGCGTCATAAAGCTCGGCAGCGGGGTACGCTTTTGAAAGCTGCCCGCGAGCAAAGCTCTTTGAAGTTTCTAAACATTTTGTATAGACGCGTGCAGAGTAAAAGCTCTCATGACTAAAGCATATACCGTGGGATAAGCTTTTCAAAGCAATCGATCAAAATCTGGACGCAGTGTTATAAGACTTGTGGTCCTTACCCCCTCTTCATGCTCGGAACTTAGCATGACAGCCGAGCCTTTTTCAAGTT